ATTAGAGTTTTTTCCCCGACCATGGCCATGACCACGACTGGGGCCACGTCATCTTCCACGCTTAGCTTGGTAGAAGTTCGTCTCATTCACTTCAGGGAATGGACAAGAACCAGTAGGTCGGCTTTCATGGTTTTTCATTAATAGCCCATTATGTTGATCGGCTACAAAAAGGTGTGAGATAAGTTCAGAATACTTTTTGAATCTCATTTCTCTATATTGCTGCTGCAGGAGCATATTTGAGGCATGAAAAGTGGTGAAAGTTTTCTCCAACATATCATGATCAGTAATATTATTACCACATAGTTTCAATTGGGAAATAATTCTGAACATAGCAGAATTATACTTACTGATAGATTTAAAATCTTATAGCCTTAGATGAGTCCAATCATAACGTGCCTGTAGAAGAACGACCATCTTCAGGTGGTCATATCTATCTTTCAAATTATTCTACAGTATGACTAGATCTTTAATAGTGAGATATTCCATTTTCAAGCCTTCATCAAGGTGATGGCGTAGGAATATCATTGCTTTGACACGGTCTTGGTTTGATGCTTGATTTTTGTCCATGATGGTATCTGTCAGACCCATCGCATCAAGATGAATTTCAGCATCAAGCACCCAAGACATGTAACTTTTGCCCGATATATCCAGGGCTACAAACTCAAGTTTAGAAAGATTTGACATTATTTAGAAAAAGAAAGTTCGTACCTCTGATACTTTCAAAGTATTTGCTCGAGATGTCAGAGTCCTGTGCTGATAACGTGTTATAAAATAAAAACTGTAAAGTAAAGACAAGTATAGAGAGAAACTGATATATTATTCAAACTTCAAACTTCTGTACATAATGAACTGAAAACTCCTCTATTTATAGAAGAAAGGAAGCAGCTGGGAGGCTTTTTAGGAAGCAGCTGCAAGGCTTTTCTTTAGCTGCTTGTAAGTTGTCTGCATGAGCTGCTTGCAACCTGCCTATTTAATAAGAAACTGCTGCAAATCATTTCATTGAGTTGCTTGCTACCTGCATGCATCAGCTGCTTGTAGATAAACTTCAACAGATTACTAAATGGATAATCTTCTTCAGAAAAATTATTCATAGCGGAGTAATAAATGAATATCCACAATATAATTATTTTCATATCAGAATTGTATTTTTATGAGTTGCCGGAGAATCCAAGGAGAGAGCTCGAGGGGTGAGGGACGTGGGGACCAAGAGTCAGGCATATACACATAACATGGCTGTAAAAAGAGAGCCAAAAAAGGTTGTTATGTACTTATTGGGGGACCCACGTGGTCAGGAAATGGACATGTGGCATGAAAAAATCCAGGTGGGCCTTGCAATTTCAGCAAACATATCAGCATGTACAGGTGATAAAGCTAGCATGTACAATACCTTTAAACCAGATAAAGTATGAAACTCCAAAAATACCCTTGTAATGAAGCAAGCACGTTGAGGGAGAGCTGCTAAACTCTCACTTATATAATAAGAGAATTTTATTATAAGGATGAAAAAATAATATTAGAATAGTTAAAATTAGAGCAAACATCACATCAAAATTGAAGTAGAAAATATTTACTGAAGAGCACTATAATATGGATCTATTTGATGCCTAATGGTGTCAACCCAAAGCAATTGTTGAGCAAGATAAAAATTTAGCATTGACAGCGACTGAAATATTTCTTTAAAAATTATCTGCATTTAGTGTTTATATAATTGAAGAAATGTATGGTTAAGTTAAATAAAAACTTATGAAGTTTCATATAACACTTCAAGAGTGGCAAAGACTCATGATTGAAAAAAAAAAACTATAGAAAATAACATTAGAATCATAACTCGGAGTATGAGCTAAACAATACTTAAGGATAAGGTATTGTGTCAAGGAGCAAGGAAAGTGAGCTATTTTTCGTGTAACTCACACATGAAATGCATATCACTTGAATATTTTGATTTCTAAGAATAATTCTTTTTTTCCAACTTTCTTAGAACAATCTTAAACTTTTCAATATTAGTGCCATCAACTACATCAATCTCTTAATATTGATATTTAACTTTAGTGGGTTATAACGGTCCAAAAATACTCTTAATATGATGTGATATTATCCGCTTTGGACCAAGCCCGTACGATTTTTCTGAAATTCATTGTGTGTGTCTGCAACTAGCTTCTTCTTGTGTGTGCGTCTCGAAGCTCGTAAGGGTAAGCAAGCACCATCACTCAACCATCGTCATACACGTCCCTCGTCCAGCCAAACTTGGATTCTGATACCAATTGTTGGGCTAAAATAACCCAAAGATACTCGTAAAAAGTGCGCGGGCACCCTATTTTGTCGCCCCCATTTAACCTATACCCACATTTTAAAATTTGTTTAACTTGTACCCACTTTTTAAATAACTTTAGGCTTTTTTTCTCCTCTTTCTTCTTCTTCTTCCTTTTCTTCTTCTTCTTCTTCTTCGGGTGACAGTAATTTTATATGGTGTTTGTGAACATATTTTAAGGTAGTTTATGATGTTTTACAGTGGTGAGCTGTTATTGCGCTTTATTTTTTACTATTGCTTAGGGTTTTTTTTTTTCTTAATTGCAAAATGGGTTCGTTAGATTTATTGTTATTTTGACAAATTGATGATTGGGGTTTGTTCTTGATGATATTTGGAGGTTATGTTTCAAATTTGAGCTCATTTGGAGTAGATTTAGGTATTAAATCGTATATTGGATTGTTATAATTCGAAGAACAAATTTCTGTTTCTGGACAATTTGCACTTCAGGCCTATTTGGCCTTAAGTGCATGAAACGTTGGTTGCACTTCAAACCTTTTGGCCTTAAGTGCATCTGAAGTGCAATTTTTGTCTTCAGACTTATTGGTCTTAAGTGCAGGAAAACGTTTGTTGTACTTCGGACCTTTTGGCCTTAATTGCATCTGAAGTGTAATTTTTCACTTCAGACTTATTGGCTTTAATTGCATGAAACAATTGGTTACACTTCCGACCTATTTGGCCTTAAGTGCATTTGAAGTGCAATTTTTCACTTCAGACCTATTGGCCTTAAGTGCATGAAACCATTAGTTGCTCTTCAGACCTATTTGGTCTTAAGTGCATTTGAAGTGCAATTTTTTCACTTCAGACTATTTATTTTTAACTTTAGACCTATTTGGTCTTAAGTGCATTTGAAGTGCAATTTTTTCACTTCAGACTATTTATTTTTAACTTTAGACCTATTTGGTCTTAAGTGCATTTGAAGTGTAATTTTTTCACTCCAGACTATTTTTTTTTAACTTCAGGTCCAATAAGTCTGAAGTTGATCGTAAAGTTGGTAGGCTTGCAATTTTTTTACAAAATGGGTATAGGTTCAATTGTGACCCCTAAACCGGGTATAGATACAAAAGCCCCAAGATACTCTTAACATAGTGTGATATTGTCCGATTAGGGCAAAGCCCGCACAATTTTTGTCAATCTTACATCATTAAGAGATTCATATATTTCATATATAGACTCTCAATTTTTTCAGCTACACTTTGTTCGCACATTTAACATACTTAATCTAAGAGTTGCTGAAAATGCAACGAACTGAACACAAATCATTCTTGGCAATTATGTCTAGAAATTTTGCTAGGATAATTGCAAAGTTATCAATATCCAACAAGTATTAAAATAATTAGACAAGTATCAGTATCCCATACTGAAAGATCACAAAGATACGTACTGTGAACTTAGACAATTATGCAGTATCACAACAAAATAATTTTCTATAACTAATTATGAGAAAGGTCAAAAAAGAAAAGACAAGAGCATCAAATCATCTCATTCAACTGATCTGAATTATTCTCGAAATATATTAAGGGCACAGTTTCATTTCAATAATAGAAGAAAACCGCATCATATCCACAAGTTTTTATTTACAAATTATGTACATAAATATACTCTGGTGTGATATTTTATGAATTAAAAAGATAGTTGGGGATTAATATCTTTCTTCCCAAAATATCACACCAACTTAATTCGTATTCAAAGTCATACTCATACACCTTGCATCTATTATGTACATGATCATCATGTAACTCTTCGTTAATCATATTATTAGATGTATCATCACATGGTCGCCATAGCTCTTTCATAATATAATCATGTTATTCGTATCTATTTGATGTGTCATCACATGGTCGTCATGTAACTTTTCGATAATCATGTTATTCGCATCTATTTGACATAATCATTTGGGAGTCCATTACTCATATGATCATTTAACTATCCAAAATTATGGACCAAAGTCATTTTTCTTTCGTTTGTAACACGAAAGTCACTCAACTATTCCTATTGCACACAAATAGTCACTCAACTGGAATTATCAAACTTTCCGGTGAAAAAATATGATGTGGCAGTCCATATGGAATTTTTATATTTTTGGACCAAATAAAATACACACCCAAATAAAACATAATAAATTCACCCATACACCCCATCCGACCCGCTAAAAAAAATTCACCCGCTTAATAAAACCAAACGCTAAAACACATCTTTGTTGCAAACGCATCTCTCTTCTTATAAAATGCAACTTTCTTCTTTTTTTTTCATGGTTTCACTCTATTCCTTAATCTCGTACCCATTATTATTGTATAAAAAGTGGAAGATAAACCGTAAAAAGACGAATACAAATCATTGAGAAAAGAAGAATACAGGTCACTCTAGTCCTTAGTCCTTAACCTCGTATCTATTATTGCTTTATAGAACAAGAGTAAAATCATGAATAAAAAAGAAATCTACTTTTTATAAGAAGAAGAGAGATGCATTTGCAACATGGATGCGTTTTAGCGTTTGGTTTGGTTTTATTTAGTGGTAACATTTTATTTTTAGCTGGTCGGATTGGTATGGGTGAATTTTCCATGTTTTGTTTGAGTATTAACTATTTTATTTGGTCCAAAAATATAAAAAGTCCATGTGAGCTGCAATGTCACTTTTTTCTACCGGAAAGTTTGATAAATGCCAGAAACTAAAGCAGCCTGATGAACTGTTAATAATTGGTTATTTATGATAAAATTCTTTTCTCGTTAGATGAGAAACATAAATTATACGGTGAATATACAAATATCACATCTCCATCGCCCATAACGAGTTAAATATAACAATGAAGAGAATAATTGAACAATTTTGTAAGATTAGACGAACGGTGCTGAGCTAAGGAACTTTACATCAGGATAAGTTGATCTTTTTGCATCAGAAAGTTCATACTCAATTTGCACCAATATGAACAACCATGTCAAGGTTAACATGCTTGTTTTCACCCGATTCGGATCTGGACTGTCCAACATGTTTGTTTTCACCTGATTCAATTCTGGACTCTCCAACATGTTTGGTTTCACCCGATTCAGATATGGACGCTCTAACATGTTTGGTTTCACCCGATTCAGATATGGACTGTCCGACACGTTTTCTGGACTCTCCAACATGTTTGTTTTCACCAGATTCAATTCTGGACTCTCCGACATGTTTGTTTTCACCCGATTCAGATATGGACTCTCCAATATGTTTGGTTTCACCCGATTCAGATATGGACTCTCCAATATGTTTGGTTTCACCAGATTCCAATCTGGATTCTCCACTTATGCCTGTTAAACTGAGATCAGGTGCCGTTGTAATTTGGCTTAAAGTCCTAAACCATGACATGTTATGGTCATGCTGCCCTTCATATGTTGTAACGACCATTTTTGGATCATGGGATGCCCTCTCTACATGCTTCTTCACAGGGCAACCAGCAATTGAGCATCTGTAGTAACTCCTATAGATAAAGGAGAAGTTGGCATTAGCGAGAGAAAAAGCATTTCAGATAGAACTTTGGGGGGGAGTGGAATGAGAAAAGCTGACAAAGTGGAAATAAGAAACAAGGTATCAAAGCAACACACAAAGTAGAAACCAAGAACATGGGGACTACAGAATATAAAGATAACTAATTAAGGAAATTAGAAAACAAAGACGATTGTATTAATACATTATGCAAGTTAAACACTTTTATAGGCCGAGTGTCCAATTTCAGCAACTATGGCAATTGTTTGCACGAGATGATCATTCAAGCGACCATACATGTACTATAACCACACTTATAGAAAACAAGCATAGTTCTATTTGACAAAAACAGAAATTATTAGACTCGTGTCTGATAACTGCCGAGTACTAATTGCCATACTAACCCAAAAGAAAAAGGGTTTCTTTTTGGCACTGTAGAACATTGATTAAGAGGTTTTAAATTTAAAGTATATTCATTTTGGTATTCCAATTTAATACTGGACATGTTTGGTCGTATTCTATCTTCCTCTCTTTTTTTAAAAATTGAAGATGGAAAATTTCTGGTGTAATGTTACATCTGATTTCTGAAGTCCATGTTGGACTTGAGAACTCGGAAGAATCCAGTTGAGAACACGTATTACCAGGGTAATGGAGGATTGTATAGGGACCATAGAAAAACTTCCGGTTTATATTAGGACAAGATAACAGAAAAATTGTACTAAAAATAGTAAAAATAACTCACCAATATGGGAGAGAGATAACAGCATTATTTTGATCGGATGCACAATTGCTTTCAGTCAAGAAGTTGCAATGCTATAGAAGCATGGTTAGACTTCAGTATCTTTCGCCAAGATTATAGAGTCGGTACAGATAATGCTTCCATTTTTTGACAAGGAACTATCCGATCTTGTAATATGATTAGAAAGGATGGCTTATCCAATTCGAGAAAACTGTGTGGAAATTTAATTAAAAATAATACAACTAAAATTAGAACATAATAGTAACGTATAGGTGGATCTCAAACCTAAGATTCAAAAGAATTCAGAATAGACAAGAAGAATTCCTTATTAGTTTATAACTAAAAATGTAAAAGTCAATTTTAAACTTCAAAGTCAAATACTCTTGATAGCGGGAAGCAACATTTAGATAGTTTTTAGCAGTTGATGTCATACATCTAGGTCTTTTACAGGCAATTGGAAAGTTCCAACACACCAACATAACACAAAAGGAACACAATTTAGAGTAAACCCTACGTTGCTTGGACCCTTCAAATTCTTTGCCGCACCCATGTCAATCCAACATGGATGTGGGTGTGGGCCAGATTTGGTGAACCTAACTTGGGTACTTTGACTACACCTACGGCCAAGAAGTATATGGTGATTGGGTATTTGGTTTGATTTTGGGTTTATATCATACACATATTCACATAAAGTACTACAACACTAGCTAATAAAGAGATAATTTTACGAATAAAATATTAAGAGTTTACAAAGAATTTAATTATTCTAGCTTTAATTTAATATATTCAATTAAATGTCGAAATATAAACTTACATATGTCATAATATGCATTTATTTGTTATAAGTTTTATAGGCACACAAAATTATGACATATTTAATGTCACAAGTTTCACAAGTCTTTCGTAGTTTTGTTCTTTCTTAAAACTTTGTGTCTAGTCAAACTTCGCCGCTATTAATTGAAATGGAAAGAGTATGAATCACAATGCTTGGATAAAGTAGGAGGATTATTTAAGTTGATTAAACTAGTATTTTTTTGATCATGTAGGGTATCTTTACTACTTTTACTGTTGTTTCTTTTATTTGGATATCTCTTTACTACTACTGCTGGCAGTACTTTTCCTTTCCTTTTTACAGTATTTTCACCATAACTTTTTACTCGTGTTTTTTCCCAAACCAATTTTGAAAACGCTTTTCCTGAACCGAGGCCTAACGAAAACAACCTCTTTACCTCCCGCAAGGTACGGGTAATGTCTGCGTACACCCCACCCTTCCCAGACCCCACTTGTGGGATTAAACTGGGTATGTTGTTGTTGTTGTAACTTAATACCTGTGTCCATACTCCTCTACCATATCCCTGAATCCTAAGATAAAAAGGATACTACTCTTTTATCAATTTTTAATTATGTAATAGTCATTTTTCATTTAACTAATTAACAATAATGTATTCAGATCACCTTGTTAATTTTGGTGCACTCGAGACGGAATAGAAGCCATCAAAACAAGCTAAAACTTATGGGAAATTGAAATGGAAGTGTGGGTCTCAAAGACCAAATATTCGCTCTTATTTAATATTGTCGGTCTTACAGGTGTCTTATTGAACTAGCCGTACACTTTGGTAGGTATCCTCCTATCATATAGCACTTCGGCAGCACTCCACCATTTTCATTACACACGAAGAGTTCAAACAGTAAAGGGTTCAATGAGCTGAATTGAGAGAGATGTCTAGTGTAGCTTGATAGGAAATCCCAAAGCGATAATGTTATGCCTATGACGGAGGGCGGGTCAAGCAGGACTGGCAAGCTTCTAGGTTGGCAAGCTTCTAAAAAAGGGGTGCACATGTCACCTTAGGCGAATACCACATCGAAATGGGAGAGGAAAGTGAAGGGCTTTATAAGGCATAACACAAGTTCACATAGTACGCGCGCTTTTGGGGCTCGATGTGGCGTATCCCGAAAGACAAGTATATGTGGGCCTAGGTTTAAAACGGACAATACATGCCACGGGCTTGGGTTGTGACAAATATGATTTCAGAGCCGAATCTCCCTCAGTACGATGGCGGGGCAAACCTCAGCGTCCTCGCTGGGGGAAGGGGTGGGGGGTGAATGTGATGCCCATGATAGAGGGCGGGTCAAGGCTTTTAGGCCGGCAAGTTTCTAAAGAAGGGATGCACATATCACCTTAGGCGAATCCCACATCGGAATGAGAAAGGAAAGTGAATGGCTTTATAAGCATGACACAAGTTCACATAGTACGCGCACTTTTGGGGCTTGAGATAGCGTAGCCCGAAAGACAAATTCGTGCAGGCTTAGGCCCAAAGCGGGCAATACGTGCCATGGGTTTGGGTCGTAAAAAATATATAGAGTAGGTAGAAACAATGAATAATAAGGGGTTTAATTAGAGGGAAAACGGGTCTAAGAATGGAACTATGGGCGAAAGAATGTACTTACTAGAGTTTGACATTGATACTATATAAAAGAATCTGCGCATATAACCCAAAACCTAAAGGCCAGGGTTGGAGTAACCCGGGATCATTATAGACCTCTTTTGCAACACTTGCACAACCAATGTGACGTTACGTATCTTAACAACATTCATTCAAATATATTACTAGACTGTAAATTAGGGTGACAATGACTTAACCATAACCGAGTTAGGAAAAAATTGTATTTTTCCTTGATAGCCGAGAAATCTCAGAGGGAAACGATGCACGATTCGAAACTCAATGGATAATGGACGCGTCCTAAAATTGTTTATTACACATATGTTTTAAAGAAGAGAACAGAAAAGGAGCTCCACTGAAACAACTTCTTTTAAAAGGTTGTCCATGTTAGAAGAGTGACATATAGTGTACCTTGTTGACGCTGATGACAAACATTATGACACGTACAATCATGTATCTAGTTTGTGTGTGCATGCATAAAGATCAATCAGATGCATTCATTTAAGTTTGACCAAAGCCAAGACACATCTGGAGGCATCCCTATTTCCTATCCCACCACTAGTCCGTTATCCCCAAAAGAAAAGAACCAAAAGTTTTACACCAAAACAAAGAAAAAGAGGATTAGACATATTCACGATACACATCCCCTTGGGAAAAATTCTGCAGCTTCGTGCTCAAGCCATTGCACCTTATTAACCCTAACAAAGGAGCTAACTCTGCGCATCGATCTACTGAATATGACGCATCTATAACCTACTCTGCGCTCCTATTCACTCCACTATGACCTATGTAGGAATGTTTTAACATCATGTTACAAATAACTGAATGCAGAAATCATTAACTGCTTGGTCATAGGGGTGGGACTACATTTAGACGTACAAATGCACAAAACTTCATTGCAAATCTATCTTTCCAGATTATCAGTAAGTGCAGGAGAAAAAGTGGAAGTGAGCCAAAAAGAAAGATCCTTTTTTCCACCAATAGTCTAGTTTCCAAAATTACTAATAGTTTCAACATTACATGTAGCATGAGATTACTGTGTAACAGCTCTGCGGGAGAATATTCTGAGGATGAAAAAAGATAGTGAGGAAAGATAACACCTGATATTGAAAAGTGATGATAGAAAGAATCCTCAGGCACTGGCATACAAAATTTGCAAATATATGTTTCAAAGTAATAACTATATGTACCTCGGATTTGGATTGCCTTTTACATATTTTTGCCCATATTTGCGCCAGCGGTGACCATCGTTGACTATATCTACTTCGCTCATGGTCTGAACAATGTGTCGTGGTTCACTATGGGACTTAATAGGTGGAGTATCATCCTTAGCAATATCTTTTTTTCTGTTGCAAAACAATTGCATTAACTTTTAACTTTAAGAGAGTATGTAGACCTTAAAACACCAAAGACAAACATGGCATGGGATTTAACATACTGTCTTTTTGAGTCTGGACCACTATTCTTATCAACCTCATTTTCTAATTTATGTGGCTTCAAAGGCGTAACCTGCATACCAGCGCCAGCTGATACAATGTCCAATGCAAGCGGGGCCTCTGATGGCTTACTAGATTCACATGTTTCTCGCATGGTAGATTTCTCGCCTTCAGCTAATAAATGTCACAAAATAAAATTAGTAAATATTCTAGATCAAAGAAACTCATAATTCACTCAGAAATTTTGAGTACCTTCTTCTGATGTAGTGAGCACTGGAATGTCTGGTTGTCTCATTTGCAAAGGGACCACCAATCCAGGAGAGGTCTGCGGTCCACTCGGAGTTTTCGGATGTTCATGCTTCCCAATATAGTGGACATCTGTAATATGCCCGTCATGTGATCTCTCCACTTGCTTTTTTGCAAGGCAATTAGGGTATGTGCACTTATAATAACTCCGAGTAAACTCATTTCCTCTGACAAGCTTCTGACCATACTTTCGCCAGTTATATCCATCTTCCAATGGTTTTTCAGGTAACCTGAAGAGAGTCATACCGCGATCAGATGGCAACCCATGGCCACTAGTATCAGGGTTTCGCCTAGGTTGCAACTTATCCAAAGTTTTCTCGGGCCTTATGGGATAAGTCACTCGTTGGTGATCAGATTGTGATACAACTACCTCCATGCTCTGACTTTGTATTTGATCTGTAGAATCTGAAGCCTTACCAGATAATGGGGAAACCACTTTCTCTATTGCACCAGATTCTGATCCATATGATTTTGCATCTGAGACCTTTGGTAAAATAGAAAGTTGACTACATACAGATGCATCACCCTCACTCTTAAGACCCTGTTTCCGCCGCACATTTTCTGACTGGTACTGTTGTACTTTAGAAAGAGAAATATCTTCTTGATTAGATTGTGACACATTACTTGACACGTCTTGGCATGTTGAAGGATGTGTAGTTTCCTCTTGATTACTTTTTGATGCTTGTGCGTCAGCAGCAGGACTCGGTCTCTTCTGCATCTCACCAGAAACAACATCAGCTGAAATTGGTTCACATCTCCCTTTCTCTTTTAACTCTGGGTTGTTGGTTGCAGGGTCAGGGTCTGGCTTCCGCTGTAAATTCTCGGAGGAAACTTCATTTGTTGCCTCTTCTCTAGGGGTACCCATTATCCTGTGCAAAACCATCTTTGAATCATGAGAACCAAATTAAACACAGTTCGGCAGGGGAACAAAGTACAAGTATACGGGCAAACGAAACCTCATTCCAGGGCAGTTATCATGCTGTGCATTTTCAAAAATGAATTAGCAGTAATAATAGATGCTGTGAGTTAACAGTTCAATACTTATCAATTGTTGAATTTGGATCTATTTGAACAACAACTACTACGCCTCAGTCCCAAACAAGTTAGGGTCGGCAATATTAATCCTCACAAATTTGGATCTATTTGAACATGAAGAAATAATTCCAATTATCTGAGAACAAAACAAAATAGCAGTTCATGGGAAAGGGAGCATTCTATTGAAAATACCACTGACTGAAATTTAAGAGTGAAATTCTAGATACTCAAGTTTAAGTTGTTTCAGACAAATAAAAACCAAAAATTGTTTACACAAGATATCTGGGTAGTCACATCTGCCTATGGTGCCATATGTGACAGAAAACTGGTCGCAAACATGTTTGACACAAAGTCAATGACCTTACTTATGCGCAATGACAATGAACTTCCACGTGAGAGTCCCTATTCACCAAACTTTTACAGGAAAAAAATCACATGATCAATGCCGGTGGAACTGGAAAAGTAAACTTTAGCTGAATAATTAAAATGGGATAGAGGGGAAAAAGTATAGATAGGGAACAATTTGAAGGGTTTAACATGGTGAGATAGCAATATTTTTGAAAAAGATGATGAGATAGTAATACTTTTTTATAAGGGAGAGAGTAATAGTCACGATCCAAATCCACGTGACGGGCGCCCGTCACACTACTCGACCCGATCGAACCAAACCATATGATATACTCCGACCATATGCATGAAAATCAGTTAATCGCGGAAGCCATTTGAAAATTATATACATTTTCAAATCAAATCATGAAAATAATACTCCCTCTGTTCCACTTTATGTGACACAGATCAAAGTACGAGGGTCAAACTAATTAATTTTCAGTGTGAATTTGGACATAAAATCTTTAAATTTTTTAAATAAATTATTTGCATATTTTGGAGAATCCGTGCAACATAGATCATAAATCACAATAATCAACAATTCAAAATATTTTAAGAGATTTTAAACGCGGTCAAAGAAAAACTCATCTAACTCTCCAAATAGTAATTATGTCACATAAAGTGGAACAAAAGGCGTTTATATTATTGAAATCACCATTTCGCTACAAGCCTTATTTAGATGACAAATGTTCTAAACTTTAAAAGAATAATTATTATTTGATTCACCAAATAGGGAATTTCAATAACCAGCAAAAATGAACAAATAAAGTTAGACTTTTGAATCACCAGTTACATGCTTTAAAAAGATCAAAACAATTTGGAATTCATAAGGGTATTAGCATTTTGCCATAATTATTTTTTTTCTCAGAAAACTAAAAACGATGCCCATCTATTTTTTTAACCAAAAATCTCCGAGGACCAGTTGTACACGGCTAGAAACTCAATGTATTAAGGGCCCGCCCCTCTACCCTTCTCCACTTATATAAACGGATTTTGTTTGCAGTAGAGTTCGAACCACTAACGTGTGGCTAATCCACACATCATGAGTTATACTCTTACCGCTGGACCCAAAGCTACGAGGCGACAAGGATGAACATCTCTAAACAAGAAGGATATACATATCGTGATCTTTCTAGCGTTTGAAATTGAATGTTGTGTGGTTTCTTTCTTGAATTCAGATAAAAAAAGGTCCATAGTGTAGAATATTTTATTAGCTACTAGATACAATCAAGAGTTCAATTGAGTCTACTTTTATACTTCACAACATTCAAAACACCAAAAGTAGCATTTTACTCTACCCAGTCTTTGGAAAATCATCCATGCTCCAAACCATAACCCAATACTAGACACAAAAAGTAGCATATATATCAACAGTTGTCACAACCAACTGTTGTATTCATAATACATAGTTGTATTTCTTTAACCAAGACAACCAAGAATACTGCAAACCATATCCTAAATTTTCCTTTCATTTCAGATTAGGACTTAAATGTTCCTTTCTCTACACGCTTCTTCACCAAAAAGGGAGGAATGCAAATAGATTATCGAAACTAAGTACAAAAATTAGTTAACATGTCATGCATAATATATAGTTTCTTTCTCACTCTATTTTCCTAAGTCTGAATCAATCTTTGTATTGGATCTTAGCTAGATTTTATGGGTGGAACGGAACAGCTTTTAAAAATTTACAACTTCTTTCAGGTAATAGTGCTGGACGTACAATCCAAGTAAGTACTTGAATATTTCCCCGGTCGCTGTACACAAACCAAAACAATGGTCCATCTTAATTCTTTTTTTTTTATATTGTAAGATTTATTGATGTAAGACAGCAAAAGCTGGACAGAGTACATCCAAAAAAGGATATCAAGAGCTGAACTATGCCCTCACCATTCCTAACAAGAAACAGCCATTTGGGTAACACCATTTCACAAAAAGATATCGAGGGAGGGAAGCAGGAGGTATACAATTCTATGAGGACGCAATTAAAAAAGCGCATGTATCGTGCAATAATGATGCTATAATAGACTGCATAGAGATGAGAGAAGATGCTGGTACAAGAAACCTCTAGATGATAATAGATAGGGAACGCTAATTTCAGAAGCTATAACCATGTAAAACTCTGCTATGCTATTGCTATGACATGTCAGAAATGGAATTGGTGTCATTGAAGAGTTAACTAAACTCCGGGCTGTTTCTTTTGGAAATTACTAAAAAAAGGACTTAGAAATCTAGGAAGTCTCTCATATTGAACCATAAACTCAGCAAACCAATCAATTTTCATGATCAAGTGAAGCAACATGAGTTCCGAAGCAAATCTCGGGACAATTGCCAGAATTCCTATTTAAGCATGGGTAGAGTTACGGTACCTGTGCCGGTGGGAGCTAGCAGGCACCCGTGGACTAATCAAAGTGCACGATGGCCCATACACCACCGTCATCCAACAACAATCCTATTTAGCAATGACTACATAAGTTTATGAAAAAAGGAAAAAAAAAAATTGGGTTTTTTCCAACAAAAACCCTATGCTCAACTCCTTCCAGCCTAAGTCTTATCAGCCATTAACAGGGTACAAAAATCAAACAGAAAGGAGAAAATTTAGCACCAAAGCATAGCAAAATCTAAGGGCAGACAGCTACATGAACTTAATAAAGAACAAGTCTTTAATCAGCAAAAGCCCTAAAATGTAACTAAATTCTACAACACTCAAGAAAGAGATAAGAACCCAGAAACAGTAGAGCGCGCGCGCGCACACACACACACGAAAAAAAAAAACTAAAGAATTGAAAGTCAAATTGAACAAACCCTTACAAATTCAAGAACCCAAATTCACAAAGCTAATTTGTACCTTCTTTCTGTTTTATTTTGCCCCTGTTTTCTCCTGGGAAGGTGGGGTCTATAACAAGAAGCTGGTCATTGACTTGGACCAAGTACTATATAGCTCATAGAAATAAGGTATTACCAGTATACAAAAAGTATTGAGTAATAAAGAAGCTGAACAAATTGAGAAAAGGTCATTAACTGTGATTTTGAAGGAAGAGTAATTGTTCAACCTTTGGATTGGAGTGGGAGAGTGAAGTCAGCCGTTGGATTTGTTTAACAAACTTTTGAAAGAGAAAGAGAAGGGGGAGGGG